GAGATGCGGCACGCATTATACTTCCATTTGTTCATTCGCAGTGGCATTTGAATGCGATGTGGCCTATACAATGACTGGCGGGGCCAGCCGATGTACAAGTCAGTGTTTTTATCCCCCAAAGAGCAGTACGTATAAGCCAATTCGAACGACTTCCCAGGACGAAGCTGTGTAACCCGGACGACTCACACCCAGACTTGATACCTGACCGCTTGCGTGTGAGCGTGCCACTTGCACTCACCACTTCTGCCCTCTCCTGAGCTGACATTTACCTTATTAGAAAGCAAATGAGAGCTACAAATCTATTTACTGGAAATCGAAAATGACTTTCTGTTTTCAAAGTGTAAGGGCATTCTAAGCGAGAGAACTTGGAAGCTGAATTCGTTCTTCCTGTCACTTTATCTGTTATTAGGTTATTTTGTTAATTCCATTATCTCTTTATTCCCTTACTAAAAATCGTATCTGTTCAGCCATAATCATAGCTAAAAATAGCCGTTTTCAGGATTGCCCTATAGCTCTGTATAGCGTTCATATTGCCTGAAATAGTGTAATAAGCAATTCCTTTCGTTCCCACGGAACTGAGCCATGAAAAAGCGTGCACCTCTGGCACCTGTCCTACTCTCATTGGTTATTTCTGTGCCTCAATCGCCGCAATATTTCCCCATATAGGCATTTTACCATGACTTTTGCGCGTGTAGTGGAACTTAACTGGGAAGTTCCCTGCAATGTTCGTTATGTATGATGCCATAAAAACGGCATTTTCTTTTCAGTCACTTTGACAGAGAGCGCATTTTCGGAGGAAATGTCGCCCCCGGGGAGCGATTCAACAGCCTCCGCACTCCAGCACTGACGTCAAGCAGTCCGTCCGACGGAATGCGATAGTCTTTCTTATCCACACAGCCCAATCGTCCACTTAGTTGCCATTAAAAAAGAGCCGTTAAACCATCACATCGCTGAACTTGCTCTGTGGCATTTTTAAGACCGAACTCACGACAAAATTATTGCTCATGAAAGAGAAGACGTGTAGTAGTGGGGGTAGAATAACTAGGCAGATTATATGTGTAGCGCTTCCGCGGCAGAAAGTACGATTAATAGAGTTGTAGGCGCAAACCGGAAATGCTGCGTAATTTTTTTTCACACAAGCCTCCTCACTTCGAAATCTTACTAATTTCAGCTTTTCCCTTCGCTTCAGTATGACTCTTTTGCGCAGTAGGAGCGCTGTACTATTATAAATATAATAAATGAAATATTTGCTCATAGCATGATTACAAGGAGACAAACAGCGCTCATGGCCTTGGGAGGACACTCAAAAGAGGACCGATACTAGGTGACACTAGTACTAAGTCCAAGAAAGGAGGAACGCTAGAGAGAAATTAAATCGCTCACTTCCTCCACCAGAATCGCTTTTTGTCCCTAAGACTTAGTTTCAAGTACTGTAAGTGCTCACTCACTTGAACGTGCCCTGCCACCCCCTCCCCCTCCCTCCCTCAACGACCATGGGTACCAGAAAAGTAAGTGTGGCGGCCAGCGAAGCGTTAACAGTCGTGGCTAACTTGTTCGAATTCGAAGTCATGGGACACGAGGTGCCGTTTCTCGGGCTTTTGACCATTTCGCTCGTATTATATTGTTTCACAGGCGCACCACTTGACACCTCTTCACTCACATTTCAACCGTATCAATCAGCTTATCGCGGGGTTCTCCTTTACCAAAACGAGTCTCTCTGCAGGATGCGACTGGATGGTAGTAGAATATGCTGTGAAAGCAGCCACGCATACTGCCTGTGTCTAGAATCGAATATGCAATGCTTCAGTTACTTGGGAAGGCTGGCAACCGTTCAATATGCGAATCCGGGATATGCTACATGTCGTGAAAGGACCGGGTCTGGCGATGAAAGAAAACGTAAAAAAATTTTATCGAGGTTATTAGGGGGTAACCCACGGGATAAATGAGGTCTTGTAATCAGATCAGCAGCTTTTGTGCCTGCATAATCGCATCCCTGATAAGCACAGGTAAGTCTGACAATTCAGCGATACCATCCAGGAAGAATGCACAATTTTTCCAGACACCAGAAAGTATTGAGCTTCTGGAGTGCACGGATTCAAAACGACGCCTTTATCCACTGAACTATTTGTTGGTGGCTATGTGTTTCGAAAACCGGCAGCGGGTTTTTCACGAAAGAATCAAAGGAATAAGGATAAAGGAGGTGAAACTCCAGTTCGGGGGGGGGCCATTGCTATCTTATCCGTAGTACTAGAGAGCAGTTCTTTGGGCTATCGAACACTACGGATAAGATAATAAGTGAACGACTCATTTCGAGCGTACTTTTGATAAGGACCGGTGGATGTCCTACATTCCACACTACCTGCCCACATCCCATCCACTTTTCTGCACAGGTGATCCACCCTGGAGCTCCTGCACCCTTAGCCCTTTGCGGAGGTGTCCTTTCTCCTGGTCCAGGACCGTTCCCTTGGGTCATGGCAGGCGGAAATGTGAAAACGTTTCAGGGTTTCTCACCCATTACACCAATATTTATCAGAAGTCTACTTTAAATGAGTCGATTACGTGTCGTGAGCC